TACCCGATAAAAGTGATCGGTGGTATCTATTCACTGGGGGGCGCCACGCATCCCAGACCCATCGAAATCTGAGAGGAAGCTTGAAATCGATCCATACAAAGTATGATGGATGCCTCTCGATGTCCAGTCTTGTGCTCCTTCAGTCTCTTGCACACTAATATCACATCCGCTTGACTCGAATGCGCCTGGCTCCGGCATCACAGGCGCCAACGTCACAGGTACTGGTGCTAAAATACTCTAATTCATCAAGTTCGCTAAACCTTGTCTCCAAAGATGGTTTGGCCCCCTGATTACATCCGATTGGTCTGAAGGCGCCTAAATCATGCCCCACAGCACGGCTTCTGTGCGCTAAGCCGACTTCACAGACTTGTTTCGACTCCGACGCTTGTAGCACAGCCTGCATTCGCTTTCATGCCCAGCGGTGTGTAGAGATCACGGAGGAATGGGGGCAGTAAAGGGTGAATAGTGCATTCAAACCTCGAAACGCGGCCCTTCTTCTTTTTGCAACCATGAATAATCAAGTGCACTGAACCAAGTGTTGGGCGAAGTGACTTGTTGAATGTTATGTTCAGCAGTTTCGGACTCGAAAAAACTGTTGGCTGAATACGACATTCTTCGCTCTCTTAAAAGAGCCAAGCTCACGCCTCAGTGTGACTCCCAGAATGCACCACGAACTTACTTCACATTCCTTATCTTTTGCCGTGGCACATATTTGAGCGCAGTTCGGCGTGGTGGGGGCACCGAATAAAACCCGTCAAAGCTTGTACATGCCGCCCTGTAGAATCCCATATCAAAACTACTCACAGGTCCTATTTCGCACCTTCACAAGGGTTCACAGGTTAGTCAACATGGACTAGTGAAAGGAGCTAGCGAAGTGCAAAATTCCCGTACCCCCTCAAGTAGAACAACGCCCGAGGTTGGCCATCAGCTTTGTCTCATTGACGAGCTTCGAGGCTACTCGCAGGCGTTTCTGCAAAGCTTTGAATGCATGCAGATAACTGAGTAGTTTTCTTGCAAGTATGCACACATTCACCGACCGAGTCTTAACGGCTACCCTCGAGATAGGCTTTCTTCCCGTGCCAAGAGCAGCTTCATCGCTTAGAGCAAGTCGCCAAGCTCTTAAAAGTTTAAACCGTTTTGTGTAGTTCTTCTGCTCTTCTTTTCGGGCCACGGTTTCCTAAGAGAGCAGATGTTCACCACTGGGCACATGTTCTTTTTCCAGAATGAGTGTAATACTCTGCTCAGGAATTCTTTTCTGCTCAGGAATCTGTGTGTTTCCGAGTCTCACACTATCGAAAACTGCTATTTTACAAGTTCCATTGGAACTGTTGTAAATAGGAGATAAATGGCAGTATTCAATATTTATTGGGAAATTTTTTGTCTCACTGGTTCTAGACTTTGTGACACAGCGAATATTGCTGCTTAACATCTTCACGAACCATTTCCTGATCGCTCACAGTCTATGGGTGGAGCCGGACCTCTTCTACATCGACACGGTTTACATGGGCGCATCGCTGTCGAGGGCACAACTGTAGACCTGACTCCGCCCACACAACGAGCGTGTAACGCGGCCCTCAAGCGACATTATTATCAAAACGTGTGATGTTAACTAACAAGATGAGAAGGAAGAGAGGCTTGGATGGGTAAAGGGACGGATAGGTGATCACTTGTGTGCGCCTCAACGAGCAACGAACTCACCCACCACAACGAGCGGTGAACGCGATCCTTCAAGGCGAACGTTGTTGTCGGGGACGTCTGAAGTTAACTAGAGATGAGAAGAAAGAAATGTGCTTGGGTTGGGCTGACTGATGGAGTTTTTGAGAAACCCTGTTCGGAAGGCGCTGTGATGGACCAGTTTTCCGTAGATACTGAAAGTCTGTTCCTGAGTATCCATTTAAAAAACAGAAAATCTTCCACTCATATCTCGGTATGTCTAGCCATAACGAGTGAACGGGTCTGCGTCTGCAGTACATGCCACGTTTCTTCGCTCGCAGCAGGCGCCGAGAAAACGGGAACTGTACAGAAGTGTCACCAGGTGCCGGCCGTTCTACCCCGCAGTTATTCCCGAACTGCACGCATCCTACTGTTGGGAGAATGTCGCCGCGAACGCATATTCAGGAGGTATATCTATCAAACAGCGCGCGAGAGGGCTGCAACTATTAGGTTGTCCGGAAAGTTCTCAGCGTTTTGGGTGTTTCACTTTAAACGATCGTAACTTTTTTAATACTCATCGGATTTAATCGAAATAGGCACCATTCGAATCAGCACGCTTTTGTCAATGTGACAGCAGTCGAAAAATCCCATCAAAGTAAAAACTGGGTGGTCGAAAATTCACGAAATCCACGAAGGCTTTTTTGTCTGGTCCTGTTTGATGAAGTATTTCTCAGCAAGGAAGTTCTGAAAATGTTTGAAAAGGGAATATTCAGTTGGTGAGGCCTGGAGAATATGGCGGTTGAGGTAGAGACTTCAACCCCCACATTACGTGTTCCAACTTTATGGTAATAGTGATTATGAACGTGTGGGCGCGACGTTGTCATGCAACAGGAATCGGCCTTCTTTGACTAATATTGGGGCCTGTCGCATCTGATAAAATTTCGGCGAGTACAATTCGTCGATTTCTTCACAGTAGGGTTCTGCTGTGATGGTTTGGCCTGGTGATAAAAAGTTTAGTGGATCACACCAGTCGATGAACACCACAAGCCAAAACCAGGTATTTGTTTTTCGGAGGGTTCGCTTTGAAATAGTCGTGGGTTGTCGAAATTCCAACCACGTCCCGGACGTCTCTTGTTATCATACATGACCCATTTTTCATCACAGATGACAATTCGGCCCAAAAACAGGTCGGTTCTGCTGCGCAAAAGCAATGCAGAAGGAACCTCGCCGACGTGCCGGATTCTTGCGTCATCCGATTGTGGGCACGACACCTGACATTGTCGAGTTTTTTCACCTTCCCAATGCGTTCCAGACCATCTGCAACAGTGGATTTGCCAAGGCCTAGCTCTTCTGCTATCTCTCGAACTGTTTGGGATGGGTCAGCCTCCAAAATCCCCCTAAAATCCTCGTCAGATGTGCTGTTAGGATCGACCGCTAAAAACGTTCATCTTCAAGCTGACAATTCCAGAAGCGAAATTTGTTGAGAAACCATGTACGCACAGCTGCTTTCTCTACCTATTGGACCCCACCCTGGTTTATTTGTTGAGTCTGTTTACGATTGGCGGCTTCGCCAATTTATAGTCGAAGAAAAAAATCGTCGGCAAAGTGCTCTTTTCACTTGCTTGAAAAAAACTTGAAAAAATGAGGTTTATCAAGCAATGGTGAAATGGCAATTATACCATCAGATAGCGCAAGAAATTCTCTACAGGATGTGCTACTGAGAAGCAAGGCAGAATGAGTTTTTAATCAGCAGTGAATGTACAAAAAATAGGTGCACAAAACGCTGAGAACTTTCCGGACAACCTAATAGTATGACAGGCAATGGTTAGGCGTGTCGCCTGCTGTG